TTCTTGGATGTCAGGCAACACCACTACCAGGACCCATCTAGATAGCAGACCCACCAGATCCACAGCTCCAATCTGTCCATGGCTGCAGGGAGTTGGAACCAAATCGCCCGAGAGGCTAAAGGGTTACAGGCGGCAGACACACAGACAGACACAAATAGTTGGTTTTCCAGGTTCTTAGGGTCCGTGGAAGTGATGAGATGTCATGTTTTGCCAAATGCAGATTCATGACCCATTAATATTCTGAATCAGTGGTTCAGCCGTCAGGACGCTTTGGCATGCACTCTATATGCAATGTGGTGTTTGCACCTGCTTTTTTTTATCCATGCACAAGGGTTCTTGCTCCGCAGCATTTGGCTGACTGCTGGGGACGGCTGCATTGGCTGCATACTCCTTTGCATTGAAAGTTGGTTGGACCCCCAAGCTGAGCTTCCCTTCAAAGCCACCAGAAAAACCGGGGGGCGGGGTGGTCCCATTTAAGGCCACAAACACGGGGGGGGGTTTCCTTCAAAGCCCCTCAAAAATCGCTCGGGGAGGGGGGGGAACCCTCCGGCGAAAAATGTCCGGCTCCCGCGAAAAAAAATCGGCCAGGCCTCGGCGCCGAGTGCGCAGCTGGGCCCGGAGCAGAAGCTGGTGCTGGCGGCGTGCGCAAATGACGATGGGAGATGGGAGAACAGAGTTCCTTTTGAGAGGTGTCCCTTTTTAGGTTAGTTTGATTTTTGGTTTAAAAATAGATGGCGCTGGTTTAGATTGGTTTTCAAAGGCCACTTATGGCTCGTGTTTGCCTTTTTGGAGCCAGGAAATTCCAGCTTCTGGGCGGTGCTAGGACATTACAATACAATGGAAATCAGGAAGCCCACCAGCAGATTCCAGCTGTTGACGGGAACGTGCAGTGGTTTCTGACGGAGACTTTAAGTCCCCAAAAAGTGGAGAGCTAAGGACGAGCTTTCCTCGCCTCTGCTTCCGAAGTTGGAGCGTATATTTGAGGGTGGACCAGGTACGAAGCAGAATCACAAAAATGATCTTCCAAAGTAGGGCCAAGACCGAGATTTCGACTACGGCTCCCCAAAGATTGAACACCAGGCGCGAGTCGCCTTTTCGTCCCTTTTGGGTTTCTCTCAACCAGCAAAACAGGAACATTTTGCAGGGATCGCTGCTTGGCCTGTAGGTTGGTTTATCTATAATGTCTAAACATGTATAATAATATACATAACTATAGAATATGTGTGTATATATGAAATGTATTTACTTTACTTGTTTATTTCGCGAGTCGCACTAATATGTGTATGTATATATATAGAGAGAGAGAGAGAGAGAGACTATTTTTCAACTCGCACACACACAGATTCAAGGATCTATGTCATGATGTAAGCTTTTGACCGCAAACATCAGGGCTAAATGCCTACAGCGCGTGGCATTGCTTGGTCAGCGTGTGATGCGTCTCATGCAAGCTACTTCAACGCGCTGAAATATATCAAAAGCGATCGTTAGTGGAACAGCACGTAATTCACAATGAATGGTATCAGCTTGGTCACTCAATTTGTTGCTTCTTATCTCATCTTCACTATGTACAACTACAGCACTAGCTTGGGTAAGTTTGACTAGTTGCATCTACTTGTTTGATTGTGCATACTTACAAATACATGTGATGTTTACACCTGATGCACAAACTATGCGACAAGAGGGCTGTGTCCTTTTATTGTTCTCCCAAGATTCAGTTTAGCACTCGCGGACCCACTCTCTAAGTTCGTGGATTCACAGCGAAGCTACCCGGAGCAAACTCGCTTCATTCCCGAAGTCTCAGCGCAAGTTGGTTTTGAGCCATGGACATGTGATGCAACCTGGCGGGTTGTATTGGGTCCTTTCCTCCAGACTACGCAAAGCTCGTTGGACATTCCCCCGACCGGTGCCATTGACACTTCGCCAGAGCCAATGCACCAATACCCCAAGGAAGGTTTTTGCTCAATAGCTTTCCACTGGTCCACCTCGCCTTTCGGCAATGACCCCACCCTGAGCCGCGTCATTCTACAAGCCCATTGTGTGTTTTCAGAATTGGACGTCTATGACTCAATATGCATCTATATATATATATATATATGGTGGAGGACTGGATTCATGGGAACCTTCCGGAGGATTGCAGCATTCGTTAAGTGAATGGCGCGTAATGTTGACGTAGACATGTCAAAGTGATTCACTATGAAAATCAACTAAACTGATTGCGTCAAACACGTTTACACATGTCGAGTGAGCAGGGTCGATGCACTCCTCAAGTGTTGTCCAAACTGGTTTCAATTGCTGGATCCCTACCTTGACGTGCTGCGGCGATGGTTGTTTCCACACATGAGCCGTTGTCTGTGTGACAAAAGATCAGGTGGTGCGGGCAAACAAGCAACAGGTTTGCATGTTGTCCAGCTCCGTCCATAGCGTTGCCCGCCGCTGAAAAGTGGTTCGTTGCCCGCCTGTGGATGGGGTCAGACACAGGAAAATCTGCCGAAAATCTGGAATCTGTCTTGATGAGTTGTGCGATGCTTGTTCCGCCCATGGCCTTTTTTCTTTATACCTCGAAGGCGCTTTTCGGCGAAAAGGGGCTGCGAGGAACAGCGGAGCACATGTTCTTTTGCGCCGATAGAAAGGCTGCACCCGTTCCCCCCTCCCCCCTTCAGGTCTTCGTGTTGCCTGCGGAATCCCCGGATGCTGCGGAGGTACATTGCCGTCATCAACTCAGTCGATGCGGACAGCTGACCGCAAAGTCAGGGGGATTCGCGGAATCCGCCGCAGCACCTTTTCCAACTCGACCAGTCGCCCAGAAAGTTGATGCATCTGTTGGCGCGCGAAAGGAGCCGATTGAACCGGCACGCGTGATGGTGGTTTGTTCACCAATCATTTTGACAAACAAACAGTGAGGAATATGAGCAGATTCAGGATTCTCACTCCACGCAGAACCCACCCAGAGCAATAGCAGCCAAGCTTCCATTGATTCCAAGTTTCCACGCCTGAAAGGCGCACCTAATTACAACTAGGACACCCGACGCTCAACTTTGGGGACTCCTCATGAATCTAGTGATTTCCTCTAGCATGCTGCCCAACAACCCCTCTCAGGTTCCATGTTGATGTATGCACCCACTTTTCTACCTATTTGGGCGTGTCTTTTTTTTGAGTTGGTGCACCTTTGGAGTTGGTTCAAGGGGAAACCAAAAGCAAACCAGCCAGTTTGGGGGGGGGCTCCCCTCATTTTGAGACGCCCATTTGTTGTTTTCCATAGGTTTCTGGGACAGTTGATTCACGAGCTCAACACGTAGGGTTTAAGATCGGGCCTCATGATGAAGGTCCTTTCTTGGAGGGTTCCCTTATTTTCAGCTTGAACATCACATAGTAGTGTTTGTGATTCAAGTAACAAACGGTATGATACAGTATCTGATACAACATGAGCCACCTTCAATACTGTTTCGTAAGTCAAATCGGGATAGTAATTTGTGCAGATGGAATGAGTCAATCAATCAGCGGTTTGTTTTCATCGGATCTGGGCTGCCTGAGCCGAGCTCCGTTACGTTGCGGCGCGCGGCTTGCAGCGCCGCTAGGAAAGCGCAGGCCGCAGACAAGAAAGGTGAAAGCAAGCAAGCGCACAACCAACCGACACGACCAAGCGACCAACCAGCAAACAAAGCCGGGCGCTTGTGGCTTGGCGGAAGGGTATTTACCCTCAAAAATAACAAGGCGTTCAATTCCCCGACTAATTCAATATACCAAGTAAGGGTATACCTAGGTGACATATTTGACAAGGACCCAAATACTGCGCAAGTCAACGGATAGCATCAACCCACAGGGCCTTCCGCTCAACTTGTGATGTCCACGTGGGCCAGATCACACATTTCTGAAGTCTAAGGGATGGGCGGGAGGCTGCTTTATCCTATCCGGAATGTCGGAGTGCCATACCAGCTTTGGTCCAACCGTCCATCCGGTCAGATGTAAGGCTCTCATACAACAGGACCCAGAACATTGGTGCCTTCAATTGCCCTCTCCTGCCAAGAAGGACATACATTGATAGTGTACCGTTTATGATGCTTGTTTCCCATCGACCCTTCTGCCCCGTGCATCATTCTTGACGAACGCGAAATGCCTGGAACAATCAATTCTTGGTTCGGGGGAACCTGCTCAACTACATTCTCACCTACGTTCCCGGCTCTCATATGTTCAGAACCTTCGATGAGGATCCATTGCATAAGCAGAAAATCCGACCCCCCCGGGTGTGTTTGGTTCCACAAAAAAAACAAAACACATTCGGGGACCCCCCAAGAAAGGAAAATCGATCGTGTTTTCATTTTTTGGGGGGTCCTCGGGTCGGATCCGGAAAATAGGCCGTCTCCGACCCTTCGACACGTTTTTCGATGATTATACCATCGAAAACGCCCACCCTGGAATTTGCCGGGGGGAGCCACAATTCGGGACACAGCTCCGCAGGAACTTTTTTTTCGTCCTCGCCAAAAAGACAGGTAGGGTCGGAGGAGGCTTAGGGGGTGCTGTCCGCCGCAGGGCGCAGCGTTCTTTAAACACGAATTATCCTTCCGGATGGGGGGGATGATGTGAACAGAGATGAGTTTTTTCCCCACCTACCATAGGACCCTCCCCCCGGCAAATGTCTTGGCCTCGTTGGCTCCCCCCCAAGTTGGCCAATGTTATTGGTTGCTCTAAGGCACATGCTTCGCAAGAATCGAGAACCCTGCGGGACTCCGTTTGATTGTGGCTTGCTGCTTGCTTGAAACTCCGTGTCTCACTTGATAGACCCTGCTCTCAGTCAGTATGGCCCGCGCACTTGGCCCGTTCCCGTTCGCAAGCATTGGCTTATCGGGGCGAGTTGCATAGGTCCTCCCCGACTAGCCATCCCAGGCTGTCCATTCCAAGCGCCAAGCGAGGGGAAGCATAGGCAGGGTCAACTCGTCAACTCAGCACGCGCAACATGCCCGCTATGCCCGCGCTTTTAGTGGGCGAAACAGACCTCAGGCCACCTCAGTAGAAAGAAACAAGTGCCGGCCCTGCGGCCGAATGGGCGCTGGATGTGGCGCTAGGGGCCCCGGGAAGAGAGCGCTCGGGTGCAAATGGTGCAAGTAAGTTGGCCACGTTTATTCCCAAAGCTTCCATTTGCTTAAGAGTTAGTTCTTGTGTTTTCTCCTGTTAGCTTTAAATGGAAACTATCACTCTTGGACACATGTACTGTATATTGTTGCCGGGCGGATTAGACAAATGGAGCCGAAAAGAAGAAACCATCCGACGGTTGCCGTGAACCCTTGGTTTCAGGTTGGGAGGGCAAAAGGCAACATGGCCGTGGCTCAAAAAACCGGAATTCCGCAATGGGTTGCCCGATCGGTAAGTGGACACACGGACCAAGAGCTGCGGTTTGCCCCTCCTGTTTAATTTTGAGCCACAGCCACATCTCTGACAGGTCAACACCGCCGACTGTTCATGACTCGCCGCGCGGGGTACTTGAGTACTTGCGCACGGCAGCGCCAGAATGTGTTGCGCCATGCAGCAGGTATCCTTTCCTGGGGGACCCTCCTGCAGTCGGTGTCAAAGGAGAAGAACACAAAAGAGCGGATGCACCACTCATTGTTTAGTTGAAACTAAGGTCAGAAGAGAAAATTCACAGGAAACCATTCAAGTATGTGTCTGCTAAATGCTAAATCATAAACCGATCAGCATTTTGGGGTCCATGTCCTATGTGACAAAGCCCCACATCCAAAACAACGGGTTCCGCGCTGAGGCCTATGGACATGGCTCTGAGGAAGGGTATCGGGGCGGCTTTGCAACGCTCTTCGTCGTAGCTTTGCCGGTGTGGAAAACGTTCCAGTGCAAGTTGTTCTATCTGGGACAAGAATGTGTTTTTATTGCTTGGGAAGTGTTGAGTCTATGATGATGATTCCTCGTAGACTACGTTGAGTTGGGGCTGCGTGGAATGATGCTTTCTGACAGAGCAGTGTTATATGAAGGAGACGCGAAAGGAGGGAGGAAACTCTCAGCAGTTACGGGGGCCTGACAGTGGCAGTAGGGTTTGTCTCATTTTTGCTTGTACCCTTTCGCAAGATTGCACTGTCCAGAGACAAACCGCTGTGAGTCGTAAGGAAGGATTGTTGGGTGCATGAACAAGTTGGTTATACAGAAACGTGCAGGTGGCTGAGGGGTTTGAGCCCCTATTCGATTTTGCCCATTCCTCGCGCAATCTCTTCACACCGGACCTTCCTTCGCAGTTTTCCTTCACAGGAGCACTTGCCATGCCTGGCGCGCAGCTCAGGGACTGCAGTCCAGTACTGATCGGATCGGTCGCATTGGCTAGCCTTCCACAAAAAAACGAAGGCTGATGGAAGCGGTCTGTCCACTGCCATGATGGCAAGCTTGGCTGAAGTAACCACGAACTAGCACAACCAAACTGAAGTTTCCCTTCAAGAGGGCAGCACAATTGCGGGGTGCAGCAATAGTTGTTCTCCCGCCATGAGTGGCAACCTGTTGACTAATTGGCATATTTGTCTTGTTAATGGCGCAACCTGGAGTGGGGGCCAAACAAACACATTAGCCGTTAGGGGCATTTGGTGTGTTCCCCAAGGTCGCTGGATGATAATCTCTCTGCAAGGACAAGTTCTTGGGAGACCGTGTTGTGAACCCGTTGATTTCCTGTTTCCCCGGCCAAGGCTTTTGTGATTTGCCGTTTTAAATGATATAGCCATCGGAAGCGGTTGATGTTTGTGTCGGTAAGTAGCGGATGAGGCCTCAGACTCAAACAGTCTTGGGCCCGAATCTGGTGGTTCACGGACGCAGATATTTGGTCAGCCCCAGTACTACGAGCCGCACAGTTCCGCGCCACTTGAGTGCTATATGTGCAACGAGCAGCGAAAATCACCTCGTCTCAGCGACACCTGCTGTGTCGAGTCCGCATCTCGCAATCGATTCATGAGACCTGCTGATGTTGTTTGTGCGCAGTGGTCACAGTGACAAGAATTGGTTCCCACCTGCCTATAGCATATTTCCGTTGGAGGTTCAGCTGGGATGGTTTCCTATGCAACCTTTAGAGTGACTTCAAGAATGGATGTTAAACATGGGGTGGAGACGCCTTGAGATTGGGTGCCTGAGCAACTCCGAACAAGAAGGGACACAGTCCGACGGTCGCCACACTCCCAGGGATCATCCACGATCAGAGCTCCAGCTTATTTGTCCTCCACTGCGAGAGGTGCGCGATGTGGCCCGGGAATGGTGAAAAGTAATGACTTCTCTGTGAATACACACGGAAGACCCAAAGGGGCGCTGAAGGGTAGTTTCTCTGCTTGAAATTGTTGGGTTTCACATTCGCTTGGAGTTTTGCAGGAGAGTATGTGGGGACGAGTTTGAGATACACGGGTTTGTCTCAAAGTAGAGCCACAAAAACGGGTGCTTACCGCAATTCTCTGGGCCTGGCGGGCGGTGTTTAGCTTTTGTGTTTGGTGTAAGCTCTGGCCAGGGAGGTGGTTCCGCTTATTTGTGGGAGCTTTGAAGAGTTGGTGGTCTTCTTTTGCTTCTCCTTGAACACGGAACCCATCCAGAGAGGGTTCCCCCAAATTGGTGTTTCTTTTTCAAAATACGAGTAGGTGTGTGTGTGTGTGTGTTTTTTTTTTTTTAATGCATGGTGGGTGTATGTGGGTGTTTCTTTGGATTTCTTCTACAGTTGTGAAACTGGCGAAACCTCCGCATGATTTCCACCCACCGCGACCAGCTTTGGGTTCTTCGGGCTGGCCAGAACACAGGCGGAATGCACTCATGGCACGCCATGCCTCCGAACCTGTTTCGAACTTGCCGGGGAGTCTCCAACGGCTTTGTGCGACAACTAGAACGGTTTAGACAGGTTAAAGCCATTGCCACTTGGAAGAGGCGCTACTTGCTTTGACAAGCCACAATCTGTCAGAGTCCAATGCTGTTTGAACAAGCGTAAGTTCGACGGCAAAATGTTTGACATGAAACCCTGAAGATTTATTCAACTGGTTAACAAGTAATTCACAATTGCAACATCAGTCTAGCACAGGTTTTGCCTGCTGGAGGTACTAGCTCAACCAAAACACATATTTGCCTGGTGTTCACGCAAAAGCAGCCGGAAACCCAGCCATTTTTGGTGGAGGACCAACCATTTTATGCATGTCGCATGCACCCATTTTTGTTGGTTGTTTTGTTTGTTTAAAAAAAAAAAATACAACCAACTGCACTTTCCGTTTGACTGCACTTGAAAACCACCCCCCCGGGCCCAAGGAAAAGCGGCAAACAGTCTGGTCCCGTCCGGCTGACGTTGAGTTCGAAGGCTGGAGATCGCGGAGCTCTTTGTGGAGGTGAGCGGATCCTGCTCGGCCCTTGATGTTCGGATTCTCCGCTGGCCGTGATTTTGCCCGGTTTCGGGTTGTCAAAGTCACAAACGGAGTTCTGGGTCCCTTGAAGTGGTCGAGTTGTTTTCGGGGTGAGGGGGGGGTTCCCTTTCCACCACAGCTTCAAGGGAGACCTGCAGAGGGTGCTTCCCTTTCTCAGCCTTGTTTTCGTGTGGTTCACTTCAAAATCAACCAAAAAGGGCTTGCCTTTTTCTCTGCTGGCCATTGGAGGTCTGGGAGTTTACACGATTCCTTACGTCCCTCATGTTGCAAAACTGTATTGGCTTTCCTCATATTGCAACTGCCCCCAAAATCACGTGTCAGAAGGCCAAGCAGAGGTCCCATCATTGTCCTTCCCTTAACGCCAGCGGTTTTTGTCGTTTCAAGTCTACCTTGCTGTTCGCGCACTGAAAGGAGATACCTCCCTCAAGCTGACAGGAGGGATTTGGATGACACCGTTCCTTTTGGGAAAGCCACCTGGGCTCAACTTCTGTGGCTGTTGGAGCGATGGTAAGATTCAACCCCAGAAAAGATCCCAAGAGGAGGTTGTCAACAAGGGTCGGCTGCATGGTGTGCAGATCCGTATTGCTATGATCAGCCTGCTGCACGAATCCTAGCGAGCTCGCCAAACCAGAGTAAAACGAGCTCTAGATGCAGGGTGACTATAGAAGCCCGACCAGACCCATCTGACCAGACCCATCTCTTCATCCATCATCATTCCCCAGCATTTCCTATAGGATGGTTAATCATGGATGACAGAGATGCCATTCTTCCTCGTCCCTTTTCATGCCATAATGTTGGACGAGAATTGGGAATGGAAAAGTTGGATCCTTTTCTCTCCTTCATTTACCTCCATCGCTTGGTTCTGGTCTGTAGGAGGTTGTTTGGTTCTGGCCTTAACTCTGGTTGGGAGGGGTAAACTATCGATTTTATCTTGGACCCTCACCAGCCAGCGCTAAGCCTTGAGACTCCGTGTGCGGAGGGTGTGCTTTTGGGATGCCCTTTTGGCGGCACGGGGTTGGAGAGCGTCGCCTTTTCCCGAGACTCACTTGAGAGGCAATCAAAACCCGGGTAGGCGAAGGAAAGCAAGGGACAATCCCAACCATCAATAGGTGCGACTGCCTTTGAATTCGTTTCCCTGGTGTGGGTACACCATTTGACTACCCAGTTTTGATTATGACTCACTTGCCCAAAGTGTTCACTCCTTCGTTTTCCAGCGTGGGTCTAGTTTCTCCGAGCTTTGGCGTTCTTTGGTTTCCAGTTGGACCCTTCAAGTGCAAGTCCGTTGGCCAAGTGAAAAAGAAACGCACTGTGTGCACTTGAATTGCCGCCGTAATTCGATGGATTTTGAAGCCGCTGGCACAAAGGGTTGGGGCCAACTCCGCCATTGTGACTTTGCTATGTGTTTAGAATTCGTGTTTAGATTCACTTTTTGGATTCTTGTTTGGCGTATGAACTCTTGACCAATGTTGATTCGGAACCACAAGTGATTGGCCTACTGCACCTGAGCCTTCGCTGCCGAATCACGCATGGCCTGAGACCGTTGTGAAACGTTCACCTGTGTGCCTCAGGATGTGTTTGTTTCTGTCTGGAGCAAATGAGCACGCGATGGCATCTACCACAAACCAACGGATCGCACATGAGGTTGTGCAATCGTCTTAAACCTTGGTGGCTCCCAGCCATCCCCTTAGCTTTTTAGCCTTTTTGTGCTTAGTGGTAGTTTCCATTTAACCCGCCAAAAGTTAGACTTTGTAGCGGGGGATCTGAGGGCAGCCCAGAAACACGCAGCCAGCGTGTTTGGCACATCCAGCGCAGTTGCTTCGTTAGCTTCGCGCCACTCTCATGGACGAGAAGCTGCCAGAGTACTACAAGGCCCGGCTGAGCCGCTCCCCGACACCTGATGTATGTGGCGCGGGTCATGGGTCAAACAACCTCCTGACAATATGACAATATGGCTGGACACCATGAGGGTTTCTTGAATTGGAGATTTACATGAAACAAACAACATTGCTCGCAGCTTGGGGAAGGTACTGGGGATCACGAAGCATGTGCTTAGCGTCAAGCATCAAGGTACGAGCGCCTCACTTGAGCTTTGCGATCTGGCGAAGGTTGCTTGCGCCTGCAAAGCTAATTTCAGACTAAGAAAGTTGGAGGAAGAGCCCACAGCTTCTGGCGGCTTTTACAGGGCTTTAACTTCTGCATGAGAATTGATAGTTTCATGCAGCTAGCGGGCACAGCCCTCAGACAGCAGCAGAGAGAGAGAGAGAGAGAGAGGTGTATATATATAATGTATATATATATATATAATGTATATATATATATACATATTATGTACAGATATAATTTTATTGTAATTGTACCAGAAACAGGCAAAAAGCACCGTGTAGCGTTGAGGGTGCCTCTTTCGCATTGGTTTAAAGTGATGCCAAAGCGAAAACCAGCTTTTTTTGGTATATCCAACTATGATTCCCTTGGAAACTATTTCAATCATCACTCGCTGGGCCGGAAGTGAGTTGCCTTGACGGATATGGACAAGATGCCCTTGGAAGAACTTGGGGCTTTAGGCCCGAAGTGATGTGGACATCTCTGCCTGTTCCACCTGACTCACTTGCTGGAAAAACAAACCCATTATGTCCAGTTTCCAATATTGCTCAACTGTCACTTTGTGTGTGTGTGTCCTTCTTGGACTGTGCTTTTCGGGATACCAAATGAATGCTGCCAGAGGCGTCAGAGCGAGTGGAAGCGTTGCTTGATTAATCCAGCATACAATCAAGCAATAAATCCATATGGTTGTTTTGAAGAGGAAGCCAAAGGGCACCCATCCCCGAACTTTGAGACGCACCCATTTTTACAATGTACATGATTCCCCATTCTTTCCAAGCATCCTTCTTTTCGAAAACCGGATCCGTTTCCCTGGGTTTTTGGAGGTTTCCTAGAAAGATTCGGATCCCTGGAAAGAGTGGAAATGGAAGGCACTAGAATCTTCTAATTAGCCCTTTGTTCTGCCTTTCTTGCAGGTGACATGCCAACATTGGAGGGCTCACGTGCCTTTTTTGCCGCTAACATGCCTGCCTCCGCTCGATGCACGCTGCGTCAGGTGCTGGGCCTGGAGGCGGACGCCTCGCCGGAGGCGATCAAGAAGGCGTACCGCCAGCTGGCGCTGAGGTGGCACCCTGATAAGAACGAGTCTCGGACTCTTGGAATAGCACGGGCGAAGTGGAGAAGCGCAGCCCAACCACATTTTTTTGGGGGGCCCCGGAAATCCGGAAATGCGAGTCGAAGGACTCAGAGTAGCTGCAGGCAAATGCGAATTGCACGGACATCTGAGTGCCTGGTTTGGTCGGTTGGGGTGGTTTTAGTCGATCCGAAAGAAACAAATCCCTTTTGCTTGCAGGTCATCGCAAGGCTCCGATCTCATGTACCCCGTCCACAGGCGTGATATGAGGAAGCGAAGCGACACAACTTTGCATCCTTGGTATACACTTCTTTAAATTAATACAAACTAATGGATATATATATATGTATATCTGTAAAAATAAAGAAACACCTGTTTGCAGCGCAACCGGCATCATGTGATATATCCTTGGTATATTCCATGTTCTACTTGGTACCTGAGACGCCTCCATGGTATTCTCCCGGAAGCTTGCGCGAGTGAGGATGGCGACGCAGCGGCGGCTGAAAAGTTCAAGGAGCTGGGATCGAACTGGGTCAGAAATCGGGTAACCCCATGGCGAAATGGCTTGCCCTGGTAAATGGAAACAATGACTACCTGCGGTCCAATTCCTGAGGCAGCAACAGCTCCTTTGCTTGGCCGAAGGGCTGGCCTCCATACAGTTTTGAAGTTTGTTTGGTGGAGCGAGGTCGAACGGTCAAACATTTGGTGGACAGCTTTGGTAGTAAAGGGGAACACATATTCCATGACATGAGGTATCATGGGGTATATTTACCAAATCAGCCATTGAAAGCGGGGGGTCCTTGCCAAAATCCCATGTTAGCTGGGGACCCTGGGGACACAATGGAAATAGAGCCGTAGCTCAGGTAGATATGCGTCAAAGCTGAGGATCTTATCCAATTGGTTGGCTTGATATAAGTGTTGTTGATTCGACCTTGACTTGGTTGATCCTCAGAATATTGGAATGTTTCAACACTGGTGAGCCCGCCGCATGGATTGTTTGATGTTGTAGTTTGGAATTCGCCTCGGAAGGGCACCTGATTTTGATACGGCCATATTGGCAGGGTCAAAAGCTGCACTAGGGTGGCTTCCAAGCAAACCAAAAGAACAACTAGGATTTGTTGGCGTCGCCCTACTTGAATACAGACCTATTTCCATTTTCTGTCCTTGAAACAGACTTTTCAGACACCCACGTCTTCTAGCCGTTGCCATCCGTGTTGGTCAATACGCTAGTTCCTTTGTTGTTTCCAGACCAGGGGGTCCCTCTTTCAAGCCAACCGACCGATTAAAACACAGAGATGTGTCTTGCATGGCCAGTCATGCGAAGGCGCCTAAAAGAAATCGGAGGAGAAGGAGCTGGGACCCGCAGGTTCCATGACGGTTCACCGGACCCTGGAAAGCCAAGAGGTCCAAAGCAACATCCTAGTCCCCCCAAAAGTGCCGGCGGCGGATTTTTTCAGCGCGAAAAAAGTTTCACCTTGAGGAATCTGGATTGGGGATTGGAGGTTAGTATTAGTACATTAACTTGGGAGATTATGGGCTACTTTCCGTACTGCAGAATAACACAGAACCCAACACGGGAATTGGGAAACGGACTCAAGAACCTAAACACAACGAAGAAAAAGGAGTTTTACTGGGGTCTTTACATTGAATGCAATTCCAGGCGTTATCAACCTCAGAAAACGCGGGGGTTGTTCCCTTTAAGGGAACTATGGGGGAGCTATGGGGACCCCCTGGCGCAGCGCGTCCAAACGAGCCCGGCGGCCAGCTTTGCCGAGCTGGCGGCTCCGATGTGTGAGGAGCTCGCG